TCAAAGGTCTTCGAAAATTCCTTGGGCTAGCGGCGTATTTGCATAAGTATTCACGCAATTACGCCGAGATGACTGTGCACCTCTCTCGTTTGTTGAAAAAGAAGGAGAGGTGGTTATGGAACGCTGAATGTCAGCGCTCCTTTGAGGGTATCAAGCAGAGCTTGATACAATCTCCAGTCCTAGCAATAGCCGATCAGGACAGGCCATTTCATGTGGTCTGTGATGCCAGCGATTTCGCAATCGGCTGTGCATTAATGCAGTACGATCTTGAAGGCGTTGAACGCGTCGTCTGCTATCAGTCGCGTCAGCTGCAACCAGCTGAGCGGAACTATCCAGTGCATGACAAGGAACTCCTTGCCATGAAGTATGCACTCGCGAAGTTCAGAGTCTATCTATTAGGAGATAGACCCTTCGTTGTTTACACTGACCATGCGTCATTACGCACGGCAGTGAACAGCCCGCACCTTTCACAACGAATGGTGCGGTGGTTTTCATTCTTTGCGGAATACAACTTTACGGTCGAGTACAAACCAGGACGACTTAATGTCGTCGCTGATGCACTCTCACGTCGTCCCGACTTTGAAACAGTCGCGAAACCCGAGAGTGAGACAGTCACTGTTGCGGTTATGACGTCCTCAGTCCCATCTACAACGTTGTATGATGATGTGAGGCGGGCGTATACCCAAGATGGTGAGATTGTGAAGTTGTTGACACATCTCTCCCAACCATCTCGAGAATCGTTGAAACGATTGTCGTCTGCGTATCGATCTGCATCAGATCGATACACTACTCGTAACGGTTTACTGTACTATACAGCCGTTTCTGGTGACACACCACGTGTTGTCATTCCAGATGATACTGATCTGCGTTTGCGGATCATGTTCGAGTATCACGATGCTCCTATAGGAGGACATCGTGGCCGAGAGAAAACATATCTCACGGTAAGTCGAGACTTTTACTGGCCCCGCCAGTATCAGTTTGTGCGAAAGTATGTTCGCGCATGCGAAGTCTGCCAACGAGTGAAGTCAAGTCCTTCACTGCGTGCACCTTTACAGCCTCTACCGGTTCCGGCTGAGTGCTGGGAATCCATCTCAATGGATTTCGTCTTCGGGTTACCCAAAGACGCACGCGGGAATACGGGTATTCTCGTATTTGTTGACAGATTCAGCAAAATGGTACACCTTGTGGCTGTACCAGAGACAATCACGGCGAGTGGCTGTGCTTGTGTCTTTATCGACACCATCTTCCGACTTCATGGGTTGCCCCGTGAACTCGTATCAGACAGAGATCCACGATTCACTGCTGATTTCTGGCGTTCCGTGTTCAAATCACTCGGAACGCGCTTAAAGATGTCGACATCTGATCATCCAGAGTCAGATGGTCAGACGGAACGTGCCAATCGTGTCCTTGAAGAGATACTTCGAGGATACGTACACTCCTTTAAGAGTTGGAGTGAGTTTTTGCCAATGGTAGAGTTTGCCATCAACAACTCGGTGCATGCGTCCACGACACATACACCGTTTTACGTGAATGGCTTGCGCCATCCGCGTGTACCCACCTTACTAGAGTGTAACTCTGGTTTAAGGGGGGAGGGACTCGCGCGAGCAAAAACCGATTTGGTTCACGCTCATCACGCTCTGACGAAGAAGTCATTGCGTTTGATGCCGATATCGATAACATCGATATCGAAGAAGATGATGCCAGTGAGAGTGCGGAAGCCCTCACTGAAGAAGATGATCCCAGTGAGAGTGCGGAAGCCCTCACTGAAGAAACGATTGATGTTGCTGCAGTGCACTCACAGCGCACTGAAGCTAACGAGTCATCAGATGAGTTCATACTGGCTCGTGAAACGGTAGTCCGTTTTGTGCAAGACTCCATCGCCGAAGCGGTGGATAAGCAAAAGCAAAACGCTGACAAGAATGGAAGGGCAAACACTCTTTTATTTAATAAAGGTGACTTAGTCCTACTGTCTACGGTTAATCTACCAAAGCACGTAGTGACTAACTTGGGTAGCAGTAAACTACTACCCAAGTACATTGGCCCATTTCGTGTATTGCACCGCCTAGGCAATGCATACACGATCGAGTTACCACGTAAGATGCGAACGCATCCCACGTTTTACGTTGGTCGGCTTAAGCCGTACCATCAGTACGCTGCTTCTTCCGATGAAGAACGCCCTTGCGCTCAAGCATCTCGCAGAGAGCCTTGTGCTCCCGATGGTGGGCATCGACAAGGGTCTGAAGAGCAGCTATCTCATCCCGAGACCGATCAGCAATCCCACGAGCTACCCTTAGCTCGTCACGAAGAGATGTCAGAGATCTCTCGTTCTCAAGCTGAGCAAAGGCAAACTCAGCTCGATGCTTCGAGGCAGTGTCCGCCATTTGGAGACGCCTATTCCGCTCATGTTCGAGATCGTCGCGTAACCCTTGCGTTACGCGATCAAAGAAGCTCTCGGGAACACACCGATCCACATGATCGTGTGGAGAGCGTCTTTCCTCCTCCTCCACCTCCATTAGAGGACTCTCGCGGTGGCCAGCGCTATCTAGTTGAGCAGCTGTTGAACCACCGCGACGTAAACGGACGTCGGACGAGTTATCTCGTCCGATGGCGCGGCTATCCTCCGTCCTGGGATTCTTGGGAGCCCCGCTCCCAACTGATGGTTGACGTACTGGGTCTGGTATAGCAGTACGATGCGGCACATCCTGTGCCGCAGAAGGACCGCCGGAGAAAGTCTTCCCGGCATGGTCGTAAAGGGATTTCAGGTTGTCAATCCCTTCGTACATCTCAGTAGAGACACGTACGCGCCACCACGGGCTGGTAAGGAGGTAAGCCTCCTTAGGTGCTCGTGCAGAGTTGTTCACACAACATGGGCACGAGTCTCCCCAAGAGAGGCAGGGTAATCCTTTCTCCCTTGACAGACGTTGCAGCTTGTAGCGTGCACCTGTCGGGGTTCGCTTTTCAAACTTATCACGAGCTTTGATAAGTTTGTCGTTCCAAGCGTCACGACCTACATCCTCGAGGTTATGGATGTAGGCGTTCCACGCCTGAAGTAGTGAGGGACCATCACGTTTGTGATTCCCACTGTACCATCGATGTCTAAAGAAAGCATCGATGAAGAATTCATGTTCAGCGCGATAGTTTTTCGCGCTGGGGTCAAGGTGATGGATCCTTGACGAATCGAACAATCGTGTTCGATAACGATCACTCGTCGTCGCCGACAAGTGATCCATGACGGATTTCGGAGGCATCCATGCCTTCTTTTCTGGAGCGAGACGCAACACACTGCGGTCCCACTCTTCTTGCGACGTGCCGACAGAAGTACTGGCACCTCGCTGTGAAGTGGTGTCCATTGGAGAACCGACACCACTATTAGCGCCCGAGTCTCGCGACCTCGAGCGCCTTCGCTTCGGCGATGGTTCATCTGATTCATCAAATGAACCAAAGATGCTGCGACGCAAAGCATCGTCCATGCCACGCTTGACAGGCGGCTTAGATTCAATCGCCGTCGATACGGATCCGTCATCCGTATCAGGAGAGTACGAGACACCGAGCTCATACTCTGTGAAGACACGAGTGTCTTCATGACCAGCGCCTGCATCACCAAGTGACACAGGCTGGGTCGCTTCAGCAACCGATGAGACATCAGTTGCTGTTGTTTCTGCTTCGGCGTCCGCACAGAGACGTGCAGACGCGCTCTCGGCGGCCTTGCTCGCGCATCGCATGGGCTTGTTTACCATGCGATGAAATGTTGGAAAGTGGACGCGGACCAACAAGTGCAAACCCTGTCCCAAATGATTTGGGACGAGTATCCATTTAGTCAATCAGTCACTAAAGTGACTGATGGTTAAGGGGGGGGAGGTGATGTAGCGGGTTGTATCGTTACATAACAATTTATAAGAAATTGTTAATAGAATATAACTATAAGAGTTATATTCTCAGAATATTGTCATAAGGACAATATTCTGTAGCACTTACGAGTAGTTCCTGATTGGTTGATATAGGCCATTATATCAACCAACGAAGACGCGCCACGACAGACGCACGCAATGAGTGGTGAGCAGATAACTGATTTACACATTTGTATTTAGACATAGTTAGATGAAGATAAATAGTGATTTATTGCAGACATTAACTATTATAAATACAGTTCTACTTTTTACTTTAACCAAGTACTCGCTTCTTCTTACCGTCTTCCTCTGCACGTACGAGTGTACGTGAAGTTACGAGGCACCGCCATATTCTGTCATCAGAATAAATAGCTTGTACTGTCACCAGTACAAGCTTCAGGGTGCCCCGTTACAGTGTAGCCGTTGAATGAGTATCTTAAATATATAAGGTGGCTTTCTGGCCATGCTGGGCAAGTTGTTTTGTCTTATGCCACCCCACCACACGTTAGACCCCAGTCGAGAGGTCAGTACTGCCTGACAGCATCCCTGGGTCACTAGACATTTCCAGAAAATTTTCTCTTATCTCTCTTAAGACCGACATTGACGTACACCCGCCTACAGCTGTTCTGTAACGGGGTGAATCGTTACATAACAATTTATAAGAAATTGTTAATAGAATATAACTATAAGAGTTATATTCTCAGAATATTGTCATAAGGACAATATTCTGTAGCGCTTCCAAGTAGTTCCTAATTGGTTGATATAGGCCATTATATCAACCAACGAAGACGCGCCACGACAGACGCACGCAATGAGTGGTGAGCAGATAACTGATTTACACATTTGTATTTAGACATAGTTAGATGAAGATAAATAGTGATTTATTGCAGACATTAACTATTATAAATACAGTTCTACTTTTTACTTTAACCAAGTGCTCGCTTCTTCTTACCGTCTTCCTCTGCACGTACGAGTGTACGTGAAGTTACGAGGCACCGCCTTATTCTGTTATCAGAATAAGTAGCTTGTACTGTCACCAGTACAAGCTTCAGGGTGCCCCGTTACACCTGGTAGCACTTCGTAGTCCGTCCAAGGACCGCGTTCACATCTAGCATGAATATGTTGGATGATGAAGATGACCAAAGCTTTCACGCTACGCGTGACACCTACTCCCATTTGAGCGATGTCGAATGGGATGCGGTTGAACGAATGGGTTCGATCATGGGCATCCATGCTGTTAGCGTCATGCTAGAGGCTCTCAATAGAGATGCCCAACATGCTACTATCGCCAAGTTCATTCAAAATGAACTTGACGCAGAACGCGAGAAAGTAGCCTTGCTTCACCAACAAGGTTCTCAACAAGCAGAGTTGTTGAGAGAACAGGGTGCTCAACAGTTTGAACTGTTGAGACAGCAGCAGGCTGCTGCTGGTGGGTCGATGCACTCGCGTCGACCCGAGGCCTTGAAGATCGACATCTCCAAGCATAGGGGGGTCGAAGAGGACTCTCTCTTGAGGTGGTTCGTCGAATTGGATGACGCCATAAGGGCGCGTCGCATCGACGACGGGGATATGCAAGTTGCATTTGCCCAGTCAAATCTGGCAGTACGTGCCAAGACTTGGGCACTGGGGCTCAAGCTGCACGACCCATATGCGTTTGGGTCGTTAGAAGTCTTCAAGTCGCGGCTCAGACAAACGTTTGAACCGCCTAGAGCTGAGTTCAGAGCTCGAACCGAACTCTTGAAGCTCAAGCAGGGTAAGCGTGATGTGCACGCTTACGCTCAACATATACGACATCTCACGAGTTGTATAAGTTCCAATCCGGTGGATGAACACACGTTGGTTTCGGTGTTCATGCAGGGTCTTGCGGATGGTCCCGTCAAGACTCACCTGTTCCGACTTGAACTAGATTCACTAGAACAAGCCATTTCCATTGCGGAGCAGGAAGACTTCAGTCTGAGACAGGCTCGCGCCAGCTCGACATCATATCGTCAACCGAGACGATATGACAACGGAGGTCCAGAGCCGATGGAACTCTGTTATGTAGAGAGCGAGAAGGCTCGCTCTACAGGCTACAAGAGGTTGCAGAGATGCAACAGATGTCAAAAGACAGGACACTACGCTTACGAGTGTAGTGCCCCTCGTCCAGTGTCTCGCGACACTGGGCGTAGTGACCGTCCACCCATGAGAAAGGGGCAGGGACGAGGGTCCGCAGTTGGTGCAAAGACGCAACAACGGGATGGACCGTCAAAAAACGGACAGGATCAGTAGGTGCGGAGCACCCTACTGATCCAGCAACGTCAAAAGAATTTGTAGGCCTCTTGATGAAGGTTGCTCCCAACACACAAACATTGTGCGTTGCTGCTCTAGGTAATGAGATCTCACTCATTACCTTGAAACTCGAAGTGACGAATAAGTTGTCCCTTCGAGCTCTAGTCGATTGTGGGGCGTCCAACAATTTTGTGCGACGCCAATCGCTAGAAGATGGTCACTTTAAATTCAGTGAATGTGACACACCTCCTACGAGGATGACGGTACGTCTTGCGACAGGCGCATCCGTAACCAATATGAAGCGTATAGTGAAGATTCACTATACGCTAGAAGATACCCAATACGACGATGACTTTATCGTATTGGATTTGGATGACAAATTTGATGTCATCCTTGGAATACCGTGGCTCAGAAGGTACGAACCACGGGTAAACTGGCAACATCGGACAGTAACGATGCCTGCCGCTTGTTCATCAGATGGCCATCTGATGAACGTTTTGGAGAGTCCACAAGCGTGTGGATGTACTACGAGTGAGTGCGATGGCCTCACTTGTGGTACGGTCGTTAGTACGACTGCACAAAACCTTAGTGTACCAAACGGTTACACTTCGGAGCAAAGTTCCGGCGGCTGTGAGGAAACACAGGCTGCGCCGAAGGTCCACCACTCGAATAAGTCGGGTGGACTGGGACAAAGATGTATCCCTAGAGGGGAACATCTAGAAGAGAAACAATTGATCGCTCAGGTTAAGCGAAACGATAATCCTAGATCGACTGGAGAGTCTTTCGTAGAGGATCTCGCTGTGGTTGCGCAACCCCAGCTAGAGGAAGTAAAGGGAATAAGTCCCAAGATTACAAATACGGCGGAAATAAGTTCCCCGAAACCCGCGGGAATAAGTCCCCGGGAAGACGAAGGAATAAGTCCTTCGAAGCCTGAGGGAATAAGTCCCCAGGAAATGACAGAGACATTGAATGTCATAGTCAATAACGGATCATGTGTAGGCGCTTATACACTTGATCTGATTGCGCCTCCGAAGTTAACTTCGGAGATCACTCAGTTGCCAACGCTCGAACATAAAAGGTTCTTGCGTGATCTGCGTAGTGGCAAAGTCAAGCAGATCTGCATACTCGTCGCTGACGACGAGTATGTAACCGACATAAGGTCAGCAACAGTGTTTACTGAGAACGAGAGAGTTATCAGTAGTTCATCTATGGACGAGAGTGTCCTAGATGAAAAGACACGAATTGAGCGATATGAGTCCCAATCATGGGAATCGCTCAAGGAAAATCCTCTCTATGAAGATTTGGTTGAATTCAAGGATGTATTCCCTGAAACTGTTCCGTGCGAATTACCGAAGGATAAAGGTATTCGACACGAGGTCGAGCTTAAACCAGGCTCGAAGTACTGCGTCATGAAGCAGTGGCCACTGCCTCGTGAACAAGTACTTGCGATCGACAAGTTCTTTGCCGATCGTTAAGCTGCGGGCCATGTGAGGGAATCAACTTCCCCACATAGCTCTCCGACCTTCTGTGTGCGAAAAGCAACAGGAGGGTGGCGGATAGTGCACGCGTTCAACAAGTTGAATGCTGCAACGGTATTGGCTCAGACGCCGATACCAAGGAAGGACGTAATCATTGATGGTATGTCAAAGAGTACCATCTTTTCGTCCATGGATTTGATGGATGGCTTCTATCAAATCCTAATGCGGGAACGGGATATACCCTATACCGCAGTTAGCACGCCTAGCGGCATGCTCTGGGAGCGGCTAGTAATGCCACAAGGGCTTAGTAATGCCCCTGCCACGTTCAACAGATGTGTATCACATCTGTTGAGGCCAGTACGAGAATTCGCGCCGGGTTATTTCGATGACGTATTCATCCATAGTCGAGCTATGGATGGAAAGTCGGACGTTGAGGTTCACAAGTACCACGTCCGACAAGTTCTTACAATCATGCGAAAGCATCAATTGTATGCAAACCTCAAGAAGTGTATATTTGCAGCAAGCGAAATACCACTTCTTGGGTGCATCGTTGGTAAGAACGGTGTACGTCCTGATCCCGAAAAGATCAAGGCGATCACCGACTGGCCCGTGCCGGTCGATGTCAAAGGTCTTCGAAAATTCCTTGGGCTAGCGGCGTATTTGCATAAGTATTCACGCAATTACGCCGAGATGACTGTACACCTCTCTCGTTTGTTGAAAAAGAACGAGAGGTGGTTATGGAACGCTGAATGTCAACGCTCCTTTGAGGGTATCAAGCAGAGCTTGATACAATCCCCAGTCCTAGCAATAGCCGATCAGGACAGGCCATTTCATGTGGTCTGTGATGCCAGCGATTTCGCAATCGGCTGTGCATTAATGCAGTACGACCTTGAAGGCGTTGAACGCGTCGTCTGCTATCAGTCGCGTCAGCTGCAACCAGCTGAGCGGAACTATCCAGTGCATGACAAGGAACTCCTTGCCATGAAGTATGCACTCGCGAAGTTCAGAGTCTATCTATTAGGAGATAGACCCTCCGTTGTTTACACTGACCATGCGTCCTTACGCACGGCAGTGAACAGCCCGCACCTTTCACAACGAATGGCGCGGTGGTTGTCATTCTTTGCAGAATACAACTTTACGGTCGAGTACAAACCAGGACGACTTAATGTCGTCGCTGATGCACTCTCACGTCGTCCCGACTTTGAAACAGTCGCGAAACCCAACAGTGAGACAGTCACTGTTGCGGTTATGACATCCTCAGTTCCATCTACAACGTTGTATGATGATGTGAGGCGGGCATACGCCCAAGATGGTGAGATAGTGAAGTTGTTGTCACATCTCTCCCAACCATCTCGAGAATCGTTGAAACGATTGTCGTCTGCGTATCGATCTGCATCAGATCGATACACTACTCGTAACGGTTTACTGTACTATACAGCCGTTTCTGGTGACACACCACGTGTTGTCATTCCAGATGATACTGATCTGCGTTTGCGGATCATGTTCGAGTATCACGATGCTCCTATAGGAGGACATCGTGGCCGAGAGAAAACATATCTCACGGTAAGTCGAGACTTTTACTGGCCCCGCCAGTATCAGTTTGTGCGAAAGTATGTTCGCGCATGCGAAGTCTGCCAACGAGTGAAGTCAAGTCCTTCACTGCGTGCACCTTTACAGCCTCTACCGGTTCTGGCTGAGTGCTGGGAATCCATCTCAATGGATTTCGTCTTCGGGTTACCCAAAGACGCACGCGGGAATACGGGTATTCTCGTATTTGTTGACAGATTCAGCAAAATGGTACACCTTGTGGCTGTACCAGAGACAATCACGGCAAGTGGCTGTGATTGTGTCTTTATTGACACCCTTTTCCGACTTCATGGGTTGCCCCGTGAACTCGTATCAGACAGAGATCCACGATTCACTGCTGATTTCTGGCGTTCCGTGTTCAAATCACTCGGAACGCGCTTGAAGATGTCAACATCTGATCATCCAGAGTCAGATGGTCAGACGGAACGTGCCAATCGTGTCCTTGAAGAGATACTTCGAGGATACGTACACTCCTTTAAGAGTTGGAGTGAGTTTTTGCCGATGGTAGAGTTTGCCATCAACAACTCGGTGCATGCGTCCACGACACATACACCGTTTTACGTGAATGGCTTGCGCCATCCGCGTGTACCCACCTTACTAGAGTGTAACTCTGGTTTAAGGGGGAGGGACTCGCGCGAGCAAAAACCGATTTGGTTCACGCTCATCACGCTCTGACGAAGAAGTCATTGCGTTTGATGCCGATATCGATAACATCGATATCGAAGAAGATGATGCCAGTGAGAGTGCGGAAGCCCTCACTGAAGACAATGATCCCAGTGAGAGTGCGGAAGCCCTCACTGAAGAAAAGGTTGTTGTCGCTGCAGTGCGCTCACAGCACACTGAAGCTAACGAGTCATCAGATGAGTTCATACTGGCTCGTGAAACGGTAGTCCGTTTTGTGCAAGACTCCATCGCCGAAGCGGTGGATAAGCAAAAGCAAAACGCTGACAAGAATGGAAGGGCAAACACTCTTTTATTTAATAAAGGTGACTTAGTCCTACTGTCTACGGTTAATCTACCAAAGCATGTAGTGACTAACTTGGGTAGCAGTAAACTACTACCCAAGTACATTGGCCCATTTCGTGTATTGCACCGCCTAGGCAATGCATACACGATCGAGTTACCACGTAAGATGCGAACGCATCCCACGTTTTACGTTGGTCGGCTTAAGCCGTACCATCAGTACGCTGCTTCTTCCGATGAAGAACGCCCTTGCGCTCAAGCATCTCGCAGAGAGCCTTGTGCTCCCGATGGTGGGCATCAACAAGGGTCTGAAGAGCAGTTATCTCAGCCCGAGACCGATCAACAATCCCACGAGCTACCCTTAGCTCGTCACGAAGAGATGTCAGAGATCTCTCGTTCTCAAGCTGAGCAAAGGCAAACTCAGCTCGATGCTTCGAGGCAGTGTCCACCATCTGGAGACGCCTATTCCGCTCATGCTCGAGATCGTCGCGTAACCCTTGCGTTACGCGATCAAAGAAGCTCTCGGGAACACACCGATCCACATGATCGTGTGGAGAGCGTCTTTCCTCCTCCTCCACCTCCATTAGAGGACTCTCGCGGTGGCCAGCGCTATCTAGTTGAGCAGCTGTTGAACCACCGCGACGTGAACGGACGTCGGACGAGTTACCTCGTCCGGTGGCGCGGCTATCCCCCGTCCTGGGATTCTTGGGAGCCCCGCTCCCAATTGATGGTTGACGTACTGGGTCTGGTCGAGCAGTACGACGCGACACATCCTGTGCCGCAGAAGGACCGCCGGAGAAAGTCTTCCCGGCATGGTCGTAAAGGGATTTCAGGTTGTCAATCCCTTCGTACATCTCAGTAGAGACACGTACGCGCCACCACGGGCTGGTAAGGAGGTAAGCCTCCTTAGGTGCTCGTGCAGAGTTGTTCACACAACATGGGCACGAGTCTCCCCAAGAGAGGCAGGGTAAT